GCCGGGTCGCGGGGAGGTCATGGGTGGGTCGGGGGTGGGTCGCGGGAGGGTCGCGGGCCGGGTCGCGGGGAGATCGCGAGCTGGGTCGCGGGTGACCAGTGGGTCGCGGGTGCGTCGCGGGTGGGCCGCGGGTGGGTCGCGGGCCGGGTCGCGGGGGGGGACGACGACAACAAGCATCGAGCAACAAACAACAACAACAACAACAACAACAACAACAACAACAACAACAACAACAACAGCAACAACAACAACAGCAGCAGCAACAGCAGCAACAACAACACTAACACACACCAGCACCAACAACAACAGCAGCAACAACAACAACACCACCAACAACAACAACCACAACAATCATTATAATTTTGTTCGTTCCTACTTGCCCGTGTGTCATTCAAAACGAGTTCCCCACACCCTCGATACCCGCTCTTCTTGTCTTCGATCACACCCCCTTTGGGGGGATTCTTTCTCTTTGCGGGGGCGGCGGTCTTAGACAGGCGGGCAAACCTGAACGGGCGGACAATTCTTCGTTGGCGCAGATGTGCCCGCCATTGGAACTGGTGTGGGCCCTGCAGATAGAGGAGGGGGAAAACGAGGGAGAGCGGGAGGAAGGGAGGGGGACGGACGAATGAAAAGGGAAAACGCCAGGAGAGAAGGAGCGAAGAGGGGGGCGGTTGCTTAGAGGCAGAGAGAGAGAGAGAGAGAGAGAGAGAGAGAAAAAAAAGAGAGAGAGAGAGAGAGAAATATATACATACATATAAGAGAGGTAGAGAAAGAGAGAGAGAGAGAGATAAGGGGGAGAGGGAGAGAGAGAGAGAGAGAGAGAGAGAACAAAAAAACGAAGGAGGGAGGATGCAGGAGAGGGGAGGGAGGAGGGAGAGGAGGGAGAGGGGATAGGGCAGAGAGGCATAAGGATGAGGGAAGAGAGGAGGGATAGAGAAGGGAGGAGAGGAGGGAGGAGGGAGGAAGAAGAGGAAGGAAGAGCAGGAAGGTAAGAGCGTGAACGTTCGAGGACGTCCTAAGCGAAAACGCCGTTCCTGAAGGAAGTTTCAGACGGGAGCCCACGACGGGCGGGCGATCCCCTGACTGGCGGGCCATGCGGGTGGGACATTTAAGCGGGATGTCTGAGTATTGCGAGAACGCGATTACTACATACATTGTAGCGGCGTCCTTGGCGCAGCGTGTTTCCTGAGCGTCGAAAGCGCGATTTCTGAATACATTGCATGGAAGTCACAGGCGAGAGCGCACTTCCTGAGTAAAATGTGAAGGGCTCTCTGGCGGGAGCGGGGGTCTTGATTAAACTGTGAGGAAGTCTTGATTCAATTGCGAGGAAGTCTCAAGCGGGAGCGCCGTTCCTGAGTAAATTGTGAGGAAGTCTCAGATGGGAGCGGGGCTCTTGACTAAATTGCGAGGAGGTCATAGGCGGGAGCATCGCTCTTGAGTAAATTGTGAGGAAATTTCTGGGCGGGGATCCTGAGCAAATTTGGAGGAAGTCTCAGACGGTAGCCGTTGTTGTTGTAATCCGGGGGGCCAGGGGCCCAGTTTGAGCACCAAGACTTTCCATGTCAAAAAACAGGGTGCGAGCGTCGAGGGGCACATTTTGATTGAGAAAAAACAGCATACACCGGTGAGCGGGGATCAACAATGATTATTCTCCAGAAATGAGAATTCAACCACAACAAAACAACAAAAACAACAACAGCAACGCAACATCAACATCACCATCATCAATAACCACAAAGGCATCACCACCAACAACACCAATTGCAGCAACAGCAACAACACCAACGCCAACAGTACTGACAACAACAACAACAATAACAACAATCATTTTACCCGAACGCTCAGTGTTCTCACCAGTGCCAGGGTTTTCATGCGACGCGAGACAATACCCCCACTTCGTGGGGGGGCAGTTCAAGCTCTACCAAATATCCAAACGACTCTTCGCGACCACCCAAACCCAGCTTCCCGCCCTATGACGTTGGGACACTTCACTTCGTGGCGTGCGGACGACCGTGGCTACTACACTGGCGTGGGGTACACACCCACAGAACTTGGTCACTTATTCGGGGCGCGCGTGTGCCCAGCATCCTGCAATTGTGACATACAATACATGACACAGACAGACAGAGAGAGAGACAGAGAGCAGACAGAGAGAGAGACAGAGAGAGCGGAGTTGGTCACATTTTTGGGGCAAGTTCCTGAGATCGTCGTGTTTTTTGTTGGTCTTGCGCGCGCGAATGTCCACTTTACTTTTTTTTTGCAAGGGAGTATTGAAATTTGATTATGTTAGAACAAGAAAAAGTAGCTCGCGCGAGCTCATGTAACATAAATGTTGAAAAACCAGAGTCGGACAGCGCGCGCGGAATGAAATTTGGACATTATTTTTTGAAAAACCAGTGGGTTTTTTGATGTTTTTATGTTGAAATCGTTACGAAACCTAAGGTTCTGGAAGGATTTCGTCTTGCGCGCGCGAATGTCCACTTTACCTTATTTTTTGCAAGGGATTATTGAAATTTGATTATGTTAGAACAAGAAAAAGTAGCTCGCGCGAGCTCATGTAACATAAATGTTGAAAAACCATTGGTTTTGTGGGATTCGGACAGCGCGCGCGGAAGGACATTTTGACAATTTTTTCTTAAAAAACCATTGGGTTTTTGATGTTTTTATGTTAAAATCGTTACGAAACCTAAGGTTTTGGAAGGATTTCGTCTTGCGCGCACGAATGTCCACTTTACCTTATTTTTTGCAAGGGATTCTTGCAATTTGATCAAGTAAGAACAAGAATTTTCATTTTCTATTGTTTTTTGCAAGGGAAAACGGCGTCAACAAAACAACCGGATCCGGACATAATCCACTTTTCTGAAGCTTTCGCGAAAAAATGATGAAAATGTAGCTGCGGCCTAGGCGCGGCGCAGAGGTCGCGCACCAGGGGTCCCAACAATAATAATTCTTTAGAAGGAATAATATTCAACAGCAACAGCCATAACACTCCGCACTGCAAACCTCACTTCAGCCAAGCGCCCAGGGACAGTTAATGACAGTTCGGCCCCTCACTCTGATTTTTAGGAAAAGGAATGGAGCAGGAGGAGGAGCAGGAGCAGGAGGAGGAGGAGGAGAGAGCATCAGGAGTGGATCGGGGTTGAGAAAAAGATGTCTTCGTAAGCGGCTTGTTTTAGTAGATTCCAGGAAGTAGAGGAAATGTATCGAATCGCCCATCGGGGTCGGAGGGTCGCGCCGAATCGCCCATGCATTGGCGATGCGACTCGATGTGGAGCCCTAGTTTCCTGCACGGCGAATTCGCCGATGCATCGGCGATGCGGTACGACTGTCCCGCAACATCTCCGTACTCGGGCCCTCCTTGGGAGGGCCTCCAGCGGACGTGAGAGTGATATCAGCATGTTTGGGTTTAGGGTTTTCGGAGACGGTCGTCGTTCGGCTCGATTTTGTGAGGCATGGGCCCACCTCAGGGTCAGTTTCGTGCCAGTTCCGTACTGGGTCTCTGTTGGCGGTCTGGGGCCCAGCACCCAACTACCTCCGGATGCCGAGAATTGTGGAAAACCTCTGGCCCGAATCCCCCGAGTTTCGAAAGTTCTGGAGTGCGTGCCTGCTCGCACGTCCCCGCCCTGCTTGCTCGCACGCGGGCGAGAGCGGCACCAGCAGCGATGACCCCACACACCGGACGGACCGATTTCTCCATCCGCGGGCCCCAGAGCCAGGTCTCCGATATTTCGTCAGGCGCCGCATCGCCGAAACGTCGGCGATGCGGATCGATGTGGAGCCCGACTTTCTCCACGCAGACGGCGGCGATGAATCGCCGACGTCGCCGATGCAACGGCGATGCATCTGCGATGCATGGGCGATGCGGCGCGATATTTCCGACCCCACCTACTCGGACCCCAGTGGGGAAGCCTTTACCGGAGACTTCGACCCCTTACCTGAGGACAGCTCTCCGTCCAGGATCCATCCTTGTTTGCCTCGGGGCCGCCCCCCGCGCGCTCGCCGCAGCCCTGCTGCGTGCGAGTGCCCTCCCGCGCCAGGCTCCCCTCTCTCCGCGGCCGGCCTCCTCGCCCTCCTCGCCCCCTCTTGCATGCGGGTTATGTCGCGACGCCGTGCCCCGGTCTCGCCCCGACGCGCCTGCGGGTCGCCTCTGCCGCGCTGCGACGCAAAGAGTTTGCCTCGGGGTCCGGAGACGGCCCCCAGAAGCCGGGACGGACAGGGCACGCGGGGATCGCTGGGCCGGGGCACGCCGGGACCTCGTGGACGGGAAGCACATGCACATCCACGGCCTCGCGGGCCAGGCCCCAGTGCCGCGATCCCGTCGCTGCGGCGCGTTTTGTTCGCGGATGCCCCCCGCGCGGGACCGTTACCGTATCCATGCCACCGCGTATCCACGGGATCGCGCGGGGTTCCCTTTTCATTACCGCAGGTCTAAATTCGCTTTAGGAATGCCCAAACTGACCATACCCAAAACGACCATCCAAAACTAGCGCAGGCATGCTTGGAATCCTTAGCGCACGCACGCCCCAGCGAAACGATAAGATGCATGTTCGAAACGATTAGATGCCAACGTACACTTCTCACGCACGTCCAGCGACCCACACGCCCACCTTACGCCTGCAAGCCCAATTGGCCTCCCAGAGCCTTCAAACAATCAAGGGGAGCCCAAGGATCGTGCTTAGGAACTCTGACTGCGAGCCCAGAACCCCGACGTCATGATTTTGTGAAATTTTGTCGACCCCCAGAGGTCTCGACCCATTCCTCGGGACTGGTTTTTCATCCTGAGTGGTTTTTTGTTGATGGTTCCAGGGACTTGGCAAGGGCCCCCCCCCAGGCAACCTTTCCGCCGTGATGTTTTGTCATTCCTCGAGGGGGGGTTAGGGAAGGCGTGAGTGTGGAGAATTTCGCCGCTCGTGGGAGACCGGGGCGATGGCGCCCAGACGATGGCGGCGGCGGCGACGGCGACGAGCTGGCGGCCGCGCCCGCCGCTCCCGCATGCCCAGGCACGCGGCCACGCGAGACGCAGGACCCTTCCGCCGTGGAGCGGCGGCAGAGAGGGCACAGCTCGGGCCGGACGGGAGGGTGCGACGACATCTGCTGCATGCAGCTGGCTTCCGTCCCGCCGCCGGAGGCCCAGGCCTCGATACACGGGTCGAATAATAAAGCCCCAGCAGTGCCCCAGCAGTGCCCAATACGGATCGAATAATAAAGCCATATATTGCGGCCTTGCGGCTGCTTACGCCGAGGCTTCTCCAGGGAGAGTAGGTCCGAATCGGCTGACGGCCGCGCTGTGTCGAGGCCAATTGGCCCGAAGACGACCAAGTTCTAGGTGCCAGATGCAAATGTTCCAGGTGCCACATAGGGCGGTTTAGGTTTACCTCCCGTCACAAGGAAGCGCCAGGAAAGACTTACCCGGCATCGTGATCCTCTACGCATCCGGGCGCAGTTACGTGAGCTGATTTTCTGCCCTACCTTTTTGCTATCCTCTATCCTACAGCCTCACGTCCCCCCCGACCAGCCCTCGGCCGGCCTCGCGCGAGGATCAAAGCGTTCCCCAGCCCCCTCGAGTCACGAAAAAGAGCACGAAAGAGGTTGTTACATTTATTTTCACCCTCGGGGGCCCCTTACCGGGCCTCGGGGCCAACGACTCAGGATGAAAAGCCAGTCCCTAGGGAATGGCTCGAGACCTCTGAGGGTCGACGTTACGCAAAATCATGACGTCTGGGGGCTGGGTTTTCGGCTACTGTCAGAGCCCCGAGTGATCCGGGCAGGTGGTGGCCAGAGATCACTCATGACTCGGACTTCCCGCTTTCGCACAGGAGTTGCCCCAGGTTGCGCTCAGTTCGAGCTTTCCCGGATCACACTCTGCCCCGCGTAGATGTTGTTCAGCACCATCTCTTGAAACAGGAGTCATTCCAGATCAAGCGGTTCCAGGGTTTTCCCGGACCGCGTGTGGGATTTTGGGGCACCAAGCAGGGCCCTGCCCGGACCAGGTCTCTCCCTGAGAACATTCGGGTGCCCGAGGGAAGATTTGATGACCATGATCAAGTTGGCGCGGGATCCGATCTTGGTCATGGCCCTGGCCAGCCGCCGCCGAGTCGCGAGGACGATCCACGAGTCACCGACGACCAAGCTTGCCGATGACCAATCCTCTAGATTTTTGGTGTACCACACCCTCCCCCGCCCCAGTCATATTCCACCGCCCGGGGCCACCCTCAGTTTGCAAAATCCACGCCCCAGGGGAATCAGCTTGTATACCAGACCCACTTCCAGGACCCTCGCCCGCACCCCCAGGGCTTTTGGGCACAATATGCACACTCTTCGGGCGGAACCGAGACTCGCGCCGACGCTTCTGCGCTCCGTCTCGGCCGTGGTCCCCGTCTCCTCTCCCTCCGTCTGCGCGTGCGGCCCTCGGGCCGGTGCTGCCGCACCGCGCGCAGCAGTCGGAAGGCTGCGCTCCAAGGGCCAGTCCTATCGCAGGGGGGGGGGTCTTTCCTGCCTGCGGCCAGCGGCTCGAGGAGGCGGTCCAGGCCCAGGCCCTCTCGAGTGGTGAAGAAACCTGACCTGACAGGAACGGGAAGCGAGTGCTCGAACGTTCGTGGCAGGTGTGGCAGCACATGGGGACGTCAAAACTGGAACGCTTGTGCGAACAGGAGGGGGCTGCGCGGTGCCCGAGTCAAGGATCCCTCGAAAATATACGACGCTTGCGCTCCCGAGGCGCAGATCCCTCGTAAAGTACACGCGATACGCGCCCCCGAGGCCACGACCCATTGCAAAGTACTCTGGGTTCATGCCTCGGCGACCAGGACCCACAGAAGTGCAGCCAGATTCACGCCCTGGAACCGCTATTACTTGTATTGTGCGCAAGCGGTCAGTTACCACGCGGCCCCCGCATCCACATTCAAGATCCCGAGCTATCCGCCGTCCCCTTGGGGTTCGGTCCGGCTGGCTTGCAGGGGGGGGGTCTGGTTAAACGGACTAGATCCCTCACCCCTCCCAGGAATGCCCAGGATGCCTCCGGCCGTCTCTGGCCACTCCAAGATGCTCCAAGACGGCCCATTATATTTTGAATACGACCGGCGATAACCCCAAGACGGTCCAAGAGGCCTGTAACATGAAGCCCTCTTGGATCCCTCTGGCGCCGTTTTCGGGCCCTCTTGAGCTGTCTTGGGGCTGTGTAACCCGAATTCGGGATAAGGAGATGGAAAATCTAGTGACCTTCGGTCCATCCCGCCACCGTGCCGGGGTATTGAGAATGAGACGAAGTGAAAGTTCGTTGGGCTCTCTTGGGAGGCTTCTCGCGGGCCGTTTCGGGTCCTCTTGGGGCCTCTTTTGGGCCTCTTGGGGGCCTTTTGGGGCGTCTTGGGGGCCTCTCGGGGGCCTCTTGGGACCTCTTGGGCGCCTCCTGGGGCCTCCTAGGGCCGTCTTTGGGCGGGTGCTCCGATTTTCGATTCGGGCTCACCCTCTTGGGCCCCTCTTGGGGCCCTCGTGGGCCTTCTTGGGAGCCTCTTGGGCCGTCTTGGCGCCCTCTTCGGCCGTCTTGGGCGCCTCTTGAGAGTCTCTTGGGCCGTCGCGGGTCGGTCTTGGGGGACTCTTGGACCGTCTTCGACGCCGTGAAGACGAGAAAATCGTATATACTAAAATATACGTTTTCCCATCGGAATTTGACGATTTTGGCCTCTTGGGCCCTCTTGGGGGTGCTCTTGGAGGCCTCTGGGGCCGTCATGCGGGCCCCCTGGAGCCGTCCTGTGGCCTTCTAGGGACCCTCTTGGGCGCTCCAAGAGCGATCTGAACACAAAGGCGGCCTGGAGCCAACGCCAACTCCATTTTTTAGAGGATGTCCCGAGCGAAACGGCCAATTTAGAAACCTGACCTGACAAGAACGGGAAGCAAATGTTCGAACGTTCGTTGCAGGTGTGGCATCACATGGGGACGTCAAAACTGGAACGCTTGTGCGAACAGGAGGGGGCTGCGCGGTGCCCGAGTCAAGGATCGCTCGAAAATATACGACGCTTGCGCTCCCGAGGCGCAGATCCCTCGTAAAGTACACGCGATACGCGCCCCCGAGGCCACGACCCATTGCAAAGTACTCTGGGTTCATGCCTCGGCGACCAGGACCCACAGAAGTGCAGCCAGATTCACGCCCTGGAACCGCTATTACTTGTATTGTGCGCAAGCGGTCAGTTACCACGCGGCCCCCGCATCCACATTCAAGATCCCGAGCTATCCGCCGTCCCCTTGGGGTTCGGTCCGGCTGGCTTGCAGGGGGGGGGTCTGGTTAAACGGACTAGATCCCTCACCCCTCCCAGGAATGCCCAGGATGCCTCCGGCCGTCTCTGGCCACTCCAAGATGCTCCAAGACGGCCCATTATATTTTGAATACGACCGGCGATAACCCCAAGACGGTCCAAGAGGCCTGTAACATGAAGCCCTCTTGGATCCCTCTGGCGCCGTTTTCGTGCCCTCTTGAGCTGTCTTGGGGCTGTGTAACCCGAATTCGGGATAAGGAGATGGAAAATCTAGTGACCTTCGGTCCATCCCGCCACCGTGCCCGGGTATTGAGAATGAGACGAAGTGAAAGTTCGTTGGGCTCTCTTGGGAGGCTTCTCGCGGGCCGTTTCGGGTCCTCTTGGGGCCTCTTTTGGGCCTCTTGGGGGTCTTTTGGGGCGTGTTGGGGGCCTCTCGGGGGCCTCTTGGGACCTCTTGGGCGCCTCCTGGGGCATCCTAGGGCCGTCTTTGGGCGGGTGCTCCGATTTTCGATTCGGGCTCACTCTCTTGGGCCCCTCTTGGGGCCCTCGTGGGCCTTCTTGGGAGCCGCTTGGGCCGTCTTGGCGCCCTCTTCGGCCGTCTTGGGCGCCTCTTGAGAGTCTCTTGGGCCGTCGCGGGTCGGTCTTGGGGGACTCTTGGACCGTCTTCGACGCCGCGAAGACGAGAAAATCGTATATACTAAAAGTATAAGTTTTCCCATTGGAATTTGACGATTTTGGCCTCTTGGGCCCTCTTGGGGGTGCTCTTGGAGGCCCCTGGGGCCGTCATGCGGGCCCCCTGGAGCCGTCCTGTGGCCTTCTAGGGACCCTCTTGGGCGCTCCAAGAGCGATCTGAACACAGGCGGCCTGGAGCCAACGCCAACTCCATTTTTTAGAGGATGTCCCGAGCGAAACGGCCAATTTAGAAACCTGACCTGACAAGAACGGGAAGCGAATGTTCGAACGTTCGTTGCAGGTGTGGCATCACATGGGGACGTCAAAACTGGAACGCTTGTGCGAACAGGAGGGGGCTGCGCGGTGCCCGAGTCAAGGATCGCTCGAAAATATACGACGCTTGCGCTCCCGAGGCGCAGATCCCTCGTAAAGTACACGCGATACGCGCCTCCGAGGCCACGACCCATTGCAAAGTACTCTGGGTTCATGCCTCGGCGACCAGGACCCACAGAAGTGCAGCCAGATTCACGCCCTGGAACCGCTATTACTTGTATTGTGCGCAAGCGGTCAGTTACCACGCGGCCCCCGCATCCACATTCAAGATCCCGAGCTATCCGCCGTCCCCTTGGGGTTCGGTCCGGCTGGCTTGCAGGGGGGGGGTCTGGTTAAACGGACTAGATCCCTCACCCCTCCCAGGAATGCCCAGGATGCCTCCGGCCGTCTCTGGCCACTCCAGGATGCTCCAAGACGGCCCATTATACTTTGAATACGACCGGCGATAACCCCAAGACGGTCCAAGAGGCCTGTAACATGAAGCCCTCTTGGATCCCTCTGGCGCCGTTTTCGTGCCCTCTTGAGCTGTCTTGGGGCTATGTAAGCCGAAGTCGGGACAAGGATATGGAAAATCTAGTGACCTTCGGTCCATCCCGCCACCGTGCCCGGGTATTGAGAATGAGACGAAGTGAAAGATCGCTGGGCTCTCTTGGGAGGCTTCTCGCGGGCCGTTTCGGGTCCTCTTGGGGCCTCTTTTGGGCCTCTTGGGGGTCTTTTGGGGCGTGTTGGGGGCCTCTCGGGGGCCTCTTGGGACCTCTTGGGCGCCTCCTGG